AAGCTTATGCGTAGCACACGCAAATGAGCTGCGGAGCTTGGCTAGCGACTGCACCCAGGCTTATCATCAGTAAGTTGACAGAAACAAACAGTCTACTGATGCATGTGAAAAGAGAGAAAACGAGGCTTAGCCTGGGAAATATATCCTCATTACGAGGGAGCGCAATTACAACTAGTGTAAATCTGACGGGCTTGAAGCTGTCCTGACGCAAAGTCAGTCGTGGCTTGGAAGATTTCCGAATAACGGGATAACTCGCTTTTTCTCAGGCTGCTATGGCTCCCTTTTACTGCGGCCTATATCGTATTCGCATACATGTAAGATATGAACGGCTCTTTCAGGAGCCTTGTAAATTTAGCGGGGACCAGGACGTGTGTGGCACGTATAGATGGACTGTTTAGCTTTGTCATCCACTACGTCTGCGCCAACTTTCTGTTTTCTTGGCACTGCTATACCATCAGAGGAAGGTGAGGGAGGGAGGGGAGAGTTTGGTGGATGCACTGCGCAATCCTAGCACACTAATTCACGCGCAGGTCGCTGTTGGCAGTAATCGATAACTGTGGATGCGAAATGTAGCCCGATTTTGAGCAGGTGGGACGAGTTCAAGCGTGTAGTTTTGGCTGGTAAGCTAGTTGGCCCCTTCCATGTTGCTCATTGGTTTGCCTGCACCCTCGTGTATGGTGACTTTTTTCAATTCGTCACTGCAACGAACCCCTGTCATCAACTCTACCCCTCCCTCCAAAGAATTGGGTTTGAGCATTTCTCATTTCTCCAACAGGCTGATGAAGTCGTGAAGTACAAGTCCTGCATAAGCAGGAGAGGCTGTCTCACATGTTCACGTTGAAACCTATTCTATGCAGAAGGCACTATAGGGGACTGGTGAGGGCCCACCGTTTATGTCACCAAGAGTTCATCAATACACTCCAAAAGGTCCAGATTTGCTGGACAACTTTTCAGTATGGAAGTCTTTTGAGTATCGTTTGTGACTTACTTGTAGATAATAGTGTCCGCTAATCGGATCCATGGGGTGCTGGCTGACATACACGTGCGTGTTTGGTGTCCTCTCAACTGGTAGAC